GACGCCGAGACCTTTGCCTTCCAGGCAGAGATCGCTCAACTCATGAGTTTGATTATCAATACCTTCTACTCGAACAAAGAGATCTTCTTAAGAGAACTCATCTCCAACTCCTCCGATGTAAGTATCCATGTGTTCATGTCTTATGTCTTCCTCTGGGTCTCGATGAATGTCTAATGCATTGTCTGTTTGTTTGGTTAGGCGTTGGATAAGATCCGATACGAGTCACTGACCGATGGCTCGAAACTGGACGCACAGAAGGAACTGTTCATCAAAATAATTCCCAACAAAGACGAGAAAACACTGACAATAGTGGACACCGGTATCGGTATGACTAAAGCGGATCTGATCAACAACTTGGGAACGATCGCGAAGTCGGGCACAAAGGCCTTCATGGAGGCGCTGCAGGCGGGGGCAGACATCTCGATGATCGGGCAGTTTGGTGTGGGCTTCTACTCGGCGTATTTGATTGCAGACAAAGTGACCGTTTACTCGAAACACAACGACGACGAGCAGTACATCTGGGAGTCGTCCGCCGGCGGCTCCTTCACCATCGCCACCGACTCCGGAGAGTCACTCGGAAGGGGCACTAAAATAGTGCTTCACCTCAAAGAGGATCAGTTGGAGTACTCGGAGGAGAAGCGCATCAAAGAGATCGTCAAAAAGCACTCGCAGTTCATCGGATACCCAATCAAACTCTTGGTCCAGAAGGAGAGGGAGAAGGAGGTGTCGGACGACGAGGAAGAGCCCGAAGCAGACAAAAAGGAGGAGAAGAGCGACGAAGAGAAGAAAGAGGAGAAAGAGGGCGGCGATGAGGACGAGCCGAAGGTGGAAGACGTCGAGGACTCGGACGACAAGAAGGATAAGAAGAAGAAGAAGAAGATTAAGGAGAAGTACGTCGAGGACGAGGAGCTGAACAAAACGAAACCCCTTTGGATGCGAAATCCCGACGACATAACTCAAGAGGAATACGGAGAGTTCTACAAGAGTCTGACCAATGACTGGGAGGACCACTTGGCTGTGAAACACTTCTCAGTCGAGGGTCAGCTCGAGTTCAGAGCTCTGCTGTTCATTCCGA